ATCTACCTAGATATTTTCAAGTCAACAAATATTGGAACTACAAAGACTAAAAAGAATCAGTCCCTGATCTCAGGATGCTTGCATTCTATTGGAGAAATATAACATGTAGATAAGAAGCACATATAAACAAGGTTGTTTGAAGAAGAGAACATCTGGAGAATATCCAGTAACTGGAGGAATTGGGAAAAGTTTCATGGAGGAGGGGAGGGGGGCAGGGCTAGTAAGAACTTTATCTGCTTCTTAAGGGAAAATAAAGATTTTGATTAGAAACACAAAATAACTGTTTTTAGGCACAGAGTTTGGTTTCTGCAAATTGACAGAGATAAGAAATAAAATGTTGGTTTCAGTCAATAAATATTTGTTAAGTGCCTACTATGTGCCCAACACTGTGCAAAGTTCTGGGTATACAAAAGACAGTTCCTGTCCTCAAGGATGTCACAATTTGGCTAATTTGGCATCATCATACCTGTGCTTTAGGAAGATTATCATCATAGTTATGTGAAAGATAGGCTGGGGAGAGGAGAATCTGTAAGTAGGATGACCAATGAGGATACTTCAAAAGATCATGATACAGGGTTGGTCATGTGAGTGGAGAACAGGGATAGATGCAAAAGCTGCTATGGCACTAGAATCAATAATCTGGCAATGAATTGTGAACAGTGAAGAAGGGAGGAGCAAGAATGACTCTGAGGTTACACACCTGTGTAATTGGGAGAATCCTTGAAGTTTGAAAAGAGCTCTGGGTTTGGAGTTGAGGGTTAGGTATAGATAATGAGTTATGTTGAATTCTAGATTTCTACAGGACATGAAGGTGAGGGTTTGATCTCTGAGGCTGAGAGAAGTGATTATTTTTCTATTATATTAACAACTACTTATTGAATTAGGATTAAGATTTTTCCCTTTATTTCCTCTTCAGGGGCTGGCCCCTGTAAGTCAGTCAGTCACAGAAGGACAAGGCTGATAGATGAGATTTATTGATTGTGTAGACTGAAGAAAATGATAGAGAAAATATTAATAATGCAAATTAAACCCATGTGTGTGCTTGTGTATTATGTACATGTATACATACATATATATATATATATGTACATGTATACATACATATATATATATGTACATGTATACATACATATATATATATATATATATTTATATATATATATATTTTTTTTTTTTTTTTTTACTCTGTGGAGAACCAGTCATCAAACATTTACTAGCACGCCCCTGGGTATTATACACAAAACATGTTCCTCCTTCTTGAGCAAGACCCCACCCAACTAGAAGACTCCACTTCTGTTTAGAGTGTAAACAGAATCTAATCTAGGTGAATTCCAGCCCTAAAGCACTAAGTCTATGCCTTTGCCACCCTTCTCCCCACACAGTTGGAGTTTAGTGTAACTCAGCTCATGAGTGCTCTGGGTAGAGAGGAATTCCTTTGTCCAGATTGCTGGAGTCTCATGATCAAGCCATGTTCTCAGCAGGAGGAGCTGAGAGCTTTCAGGCCACTTTCTCATTTGAAAGTCCGCCCTCTCATTAATTGTTTATCAATCAGGTTCATTTTCACCTGTCAGGGGCACACACACACACACACACACACACCCTTTTCCAAAGGTATTTAAGCATTCAGTGGTTTCTGTCTTTTGTTACCAAGAGAAACCACTGATCATCAATTTATTGATTATCAGCTAGCCTAATTAATAAATCAATTAATTACCCAGAAAGTCTCTCTCAAACTTTTCATTCATTTAAAGGTTGTGAAGAAAGATTAGGGCTTAAGATATAGATTTGGGAGTTGTCTGTATAAGAATAATAATTGGCTCCATGGAAATGGATGGGATCATAAAGAGAAAGATTGTACAGGGAAAGAAAAGAATAAAGGACAATGTGTGATTGAACTGGTCTAATTAGCTCTGGATGGGCTCAAGACTCTGTACAGAAAAATGTGCAGCTGGGGCAGAGGAACAGAAAGCTGAAGGTTGCTATGAGGACTAAGAAAAGAAGTGTAAAGTAGAGGAAGAGAGGAAAGAATAGGAGATTACCAGAAATGGGAATTTTAGTGTTCAAGACCAGAGAGACAGAATAGGGATGAGTGAAACCATCTTATGACTTGGCTATTCTTGGGCATCTGCCAATTGCCTATGGGTCTGTCTAGTTTTCTGAACTGACCTTGTCCTCCATGCCATAATCCTGCCCATTCCACCCAAACTCCAATCATCATAGAAGGACACTAGGCAAAATTATGAAATAGTTGAAGTGCTTATTCAGTTCTCTTCTTTTCTCCTTTCTCCCTACTAGGTCTGCTCAGATTTTTATTCTCCCAACCTTTCCTTCCCTCTTTTCCTTCTCAAAACTAAATGGCCTCATGCTTCCAAAGTCCAATTTTTTTTGCTAGATACTATTATGAAGAAGGCATACTACCTAGTGTCTAGTCTAGCACACTGTAGGTGCTAAATATATGTTTGTTAAGAAATTGATAATATAGTGTTCCTTCAAGCTGAACTTTGACCTTTTTCATTCTACATTGTGATGGAGAAAATTAGGGCCAGTAAGTATTTAAAATCAGAACTGGAAGTCCTTTTTATTTTCCTTCCTTTTATTTTCCTTTATTTATTAAAAGAACCAATAGATCTTTTAAAGAGACCATTTTCAACCTTGAAGAGTGAGCCTCAAACATCTCTAAAAATCCTGCTAACTTTGATCATCTGCAAATGTTACCTTCTCTCACTGAAATATAATACCCAGGGGTGTGCTAGTAAATGTTTGATGACTGGTTCTCCATAGGGGAAAAAAAAGATCTATCTATCTATCTATCTATCTATCTATCTATATCTATCTATATATATATATATAGAGAGAGAGAGAGATATTCACATGCATGTATTATATATACATGCAAGTATATATGTACATAATACACAAGCACACACATGGGTTTAATTCGCATTATTAATATTTTCTCTATCATTTTCTTCAGTCTAGACAATCAACAAAACAATAAATCAAGCCCTGATTTGTAGCATTTGCTGATTTCCAAGTTGTAAAACACTAACACTGAACATTTAACAATTGGAGAGACAGTTTGAGCTGATTCCGGGACACCATTAAAACACACTCACTGCAATGGGACACTATTGGAATTGGAATGGGGAAAGGCTCAGTTGTTAATACACATTCTTTCATTCTGGGAAACTCCTCTATCACTACCATGTATAAGCTACTATGCCCATGCAGTCTACTGAGTCTTTAATAATGAAGAATGGAGCCACAGGCTATCCTATGCAAAAGTTCTATAACCATTTGGAAGGTGACTTATAGGAGAACATCAGCCCCAGTTGTTAAACACACTAGCATAATACAACAAAGAAACACTTCTGCTGTCTTGAAAAAGAAAAAGCAGATTCAAATTACATTGAAGTTTTGCATAAGTTAGTAAATATGGTTATGAACTAAAATGGCAGGTATCCATGAAAGCTAAAGTTAATACAAGTGCTTTAAGAAGGTACTTGGCAAATCTAGAAACAGAATAAAATGTTTTACTCTGAATGCAGTCAAAACCCAGAAGATCTCTTTCCCATCATACCTTCTTTCCCCTAAATTTAACAGTGAACCAAGAAGTCTGATGCTGTAAGCTCAAGCATTATTTTCCAAAGCCTCTAATTTAAACCATGGAATTCTATTTTTCATAAGGAGTTTTGTGTCAGGGTAGACATGGTGTCACCCTTAATAGTACATTTGTAAAGAACATTTCAAAATGTGTCATTGGTTTTCCTGCTCTTTGTACTGTCCTCACACCAACAAAAACCTTCTTGGTTCCAGTGGGATTTTTGCCTTTACAAAGAATATAGGATCCAATCTTCTTTTGTTTGGGTATGAACTCAATTGCTATCCAAACTGAACAGATACACTTTTCAATTCACTTGTTTTGGCCATCTGACAAGATGCCTTTCCTTCTTCATTCCCACATCTATTACTGCTTTCAAAACTATTCAAAACTTATGTTATTTATAATGCCTTTCCACAAACTAATCTCACCTGGCTGTGGTCAACCTACATGTAACATTCTTTTAGCATTCATTTCTTCCTCTTATTCCTAGTTCTATTGTGGGGTTGTTATTTTGTTTGTTTCTTTCTGTTATTATGTAACCTTATTTATTTTATTGCTGTTTGTATTCCATGAGATCATTAATTCCTCGAGGGCAGATTCATTTGTACTCCTTCCTTTTATCTCCTTATACTTCATAAAGATGACTAAGACTCTCACATTTCTATATAGCTTTAAGATTTGCATGGTACTTTGCATACGTTAGTTCCTTTATAACCTCACAACAACCTTGGGAGGTAGTCCCATTTTACAGAGGAAGGAACTGAGGCTGAGAGCTATGAAGGGACTTGCCCAGGGACACACAGCCAGTAAGTATCTGAGGTAGGATTTGAACCCAGATCTCCCTGACTCTCAACCCATTACATGAGGCTGCTTCTCTGCTCTGCACACAATAAAGGGATTTGGGCTGTATAGTCTGGTAAGTAGATATTCTGAAACATCATATATCTCCACATAAATGATTGTGAATAGAGAGGAAAAATTATTTATAGAAATATGATCACTTAGATTAAGAAGATCTTGACTGGATTTCCCTATTGTATCTCTCTTTGTTTCTTCATTTTCCAAACAAGTAGGTGGTACAGTGGATATAATGCCTGGTCAGGAAGACTCCTCTTCCTAAGTTCAAATCTGACCTCAGACACTTACTAGCTATGTGACCCTGGGCAAGTCACTTAACCTTGTTTGCCTCAGTTTCCTCATCTATAATATGAGCTGGAGAAGGAATTGGCAAACTATAGTGTCTTGGCCAAGAAAACCCCAAATAGGGTGACAGAGAGTCAGACACATCTGAACAGTAACAAACCAACCTCAAGTGCATATTACCTATCATCTCCAAAGGCATCCACAATTTTTTTTTTACCCTATTGTCTAACTGATTCTTTTTCTCTCTTCACAGGATAGTGGCCAGAGCCTCAAAGAACCTCATGTCCACTCAAAGTTTAGGAATTGTATTTGGGCCCACACTTTTGCGGGCTGAAAATGAGACTGGGAATATGGCAGTCCACATGGTATACCAAAACCAGATAGCAGAACTCATGCTAAGTGAGTACAATAAGATCTTCAGCTCTAAGGAAGACTGACAGACAAGGCACATTATTGAAAATGTTCACATCTGTCTTGATGCCTAATATTTTTACATTTCTGTAAACATATTTCTGAAATATTTTTTTTCTTTCAAGTGACAGATGCCTCATTTTGTGAAAACTTAATGACGATTTCATGTTTAAGTTCCAAACATTAGAATAAAATAATTGACAATATTTGCCTATATGTGTTCAAAATTAACCCTTTAAATGCCATGCCACCCAGCACTTCTAAGACTGCAGTATGGATATCTAAAGATTTTCAGAAATGTTGGGAATATAACTTATATTCACAAGTTACATGTAACCCTAATTCTAGATTCTGTATGTGTATGTTAGTTCATGTTTGTGCACCCTCATGGGTATATGTATAATAATTAGAGTGTACCCAGCTAGTCAAAAAGTGATAAGGAGGCAGGGGAGACCCAGGTCCAGACCTAAAATAGGCATGTTTCATCTTTTAAGAATTTTTTTTTTTGCTTGTGGATAGATTAGCTATTCTCTGAGCTATACAATGAAAGTTTTGTTGTTTTTTTAATGTTGAAGGTTGGGTTTTTTCCAAAGAAAAATGACAGCTCAAAACGTTTTCCACTGGATACATTTTTAAAAAATACTATTTCCCATTCCCTAAACACATCACCCTGTAAATTAGAAACAAAATTAGAGCCTGACTATTTTGTGCTTAATAACATACAAGAATTGCATGGCTGCTCATTTTTAATGTTAACATCCATTTTGATTCTTCATCATACTCTACATCTTCCTCTTCCCTGGCTCTGTCATGATCTGTAGAATTTTTATTATGCTCCTGAGGATGCTTTATTGGTGAATTACATTAAATTCATCTAGAAAGAATTTTTTAAAAAAATAAAGCTTTTTCATATGCCCTTAGGATTTCTTGGCTAGACTTGAATCAGTTTATGCATTTGATGGTTAGTTTCAGTTGTCATGGGTAAACAAAAGGGTAACTGTCTAGAATATATCAAATATTGTTTTATTTTCAAAAGTATGTTTCTAGCTATACATATCCCATACCCTGTTTTGTGAAAGTATTCTGCTGATAAAAATGTAGACTTATGTTTGACAGCTTTTTAATCAAGTTCAAACAGAATAAATAAAACTAATCCAGTGTGGTAACAAGTCAGTCTGGTTATCGATTTGTTCGTAAAATGAAAAATAAGGCATGTAAATAAAATGTGTGAAACTGAGATCCAAGAGCAAACATTTAGAGCAAGTGAGGACTCATAGACATGAAGTGGATATATAGACATGCTGTATGGCACACAAAGAGGTGTCTGAACAGGCAGATAACATGGTTGTTCCCCAGCACACATCATACTGACTGAGGAATGGAAAGCGGTCTTTAAATCCACTCCTTCCTAACTATATGATGAGAAACACAGTACAGGCATACCTCATTTTATTGTGCTTCACAGATACTGTGGTGGGTTTTTTTGTTTGTTTTTTACAAATTGAAGGTTTGTGGCAGCCTATCGGTACCATTTTTCCAACTCACATAATGTCTCTGTTACATTTTGGTAACTGTCACAGCATTTCAAAGTTTTTCATTATTATTGTATCCGTTATGGTGATCTGTGATCAGTGATCTTTGATATTACACTATTGTACTTTTGTGGGGTGCCATGAACAGTATAAGATGGTGAGCTTAATGGATAAATGTTGTGTGTGTTCTGACTGCTCCACCAACTTGCTGTTCCCCCATCTTTCTCCCTCTCCTCAGGTCTCTCTATTCCCTGAGACACAACAATATTGAAACTCGGCCAATTAATAGCCCTACAAGTACATCTAAGTGTTCAAGTAAAAGGAAGAGTCAATTGATCAGGCAAACTTCATTGTCCTATTTTAAGAAATTACTACAGCCACCCGAAGTGTTAGGCAACCACCAACCTGATCGATCAGCAACCATCAATATCCAGGCAAAATCCTCCACCAGCAAAAAGATTACGACTTGCTGAAAGCTCAGATGACAGCATTTGTTAGCAATAAAGTATTGGTAATTAAGATGTGTGCATTGGGTTTTTAGACATAATACTATTGCATACTTAATAGTCTACAGCATAGTGCAAACATAACTTTTATATGCACTGGAAAACCAAAAAATTTATTTGACTCACTTTATTATAATACTTGCATTAATATGGTGGTCTGGAAGTGAACCAGCAACATCTCTGAGATATGCCTGTATCATTATGTGTGCTCTTGTCTAGGAAGAGACCACCAGCAGGATCAAAAAAGTGTTGGTATGAAAGAGCTAGAGACATACCACAGGGTCAAGCAACGTTGTAAAGAAGAAAGTCACATGTTTTAAAATGACATTAATCACTAGAAGAAAAGGTAGGAGTACTAGTAGGTAGTGAGCTGACCTTGGAGTATAGAAGACCTATGCTATCATAAAGTTTTTGTTGTTATTCTGTTTCAATTGATTTAGCATTTTTTCAACTTCTCCTTGAAACACAATTTCCCTAAGCCTCATTAGTGTCCAAAGACCAAGGACAGTTCAAATGACAGCAAGCCAACACTTTAGAAAGGATTTAAACCTAAAGGTATAAACTGTGGAGTCTCAAGTGTAAAATGGAATTCTGCCTCCCCACAAGCATTTCACCAACATGTTTCCTTCAGACTACCAAGTTCTTCCTTCTACATCTACAGAGACCCAATGGTCTCTATAAGAGGTTGTCCTCACTTCCAATTTGTCCCAGCTTTATGGAGAAGAGATGGGTGGATTTCTTTGCTACTATACATTGAAAGTCTGATACTATTTAGCAGTCTGACAGAACCACCACCTAATTCTGTATCATTGAAAGCTACGTGACAGGGCTTACTAACCAATTAAGAAACAAAGGCTCCAGTTAAGAGAATTTAGGAAATCTGTTAAACTTGAACAATCTCTTGCCAAAGCTGCTTTTCTTTCAGTTGAATGCAGTGAGACATTGACCTATACCTCCTTTATAAGGATTTTTTTAAACATAACAACTACACTATATAAGAAAATGTTATGCAACTGGTGCTTGCGCTTCCTTTCCTCTTTTATTCTCTCTTCTAAACCCTCCACAATCTGGCTACTCTCCTTATCATTCAATTGATTCATTAGTAACTCCAAAGTTACCAATGATCTCCTAATTGCAAATGTAGCTTTGCTTTATTTTTAACTTATGGAATAAAACAAGCATTTCCATAACACAGTATAATAAAAAAGATGATTGCACATGAAACTACAAATTTATTATGTACAATTTGCTTTTCCTTTTACATATATAATAAAGTTATAATGTAAATTTATTTTCTTTCTTTCCCCCTTCACCCTAGAGATGGCTACTATTAGACACAAATTGATACATACACACACACACACACACACACACACACACACATACATACATACATATACATATATATATATATATATATATATATATATATATATATATATATGTAAACTTATTCTACACATTCTTCTATTTATCAGTTCTTTCTCTGGATGTTTTGGTTTTTAATCAGTCCTGCTCTGTAGCATTTGACGACGTTCTGATCATCTGGACATTTGGCATTCTGGATAACCCTCTCCTCCTGGATACTCTCTTCTCTCTAAATTTCCATGGCACTATTCTCTCCTAGTTCTCTTCCTATATATCCAACCACAAATCAGTCTCGTCCACATCAACCCGGCCAAAACAGAACTCATTATCTTTCCCCGCCAAGCTATCCCTTCTTCCAAACTTCCCTATTACTGTTGATCCTTGTCACCCAGGCCCAAAACATTCATGTCATCCTCAATTGCTCACTTCCATAGACCCCATGTATCGAATCTATTGATAAATCTTATTATTTCTACCTTTGGATCTCATATATGCCCTCTTCTCTCTATTTATGCAACCACAAACAGGGTTCAGAATCATCACCTTTTATTGGGACTATTACAATAGCCTTCTAATTGGTCGCCTTGCCTCTCCATTCAATCCATCCTCCACTCAGCTGCCAAGGTGATTTTTCAAAAAATAAGTTGGATCATGTCCTTCCCCTGTTCAATGAACTCCAATGCCTACCCATCACCTGTAGGATTAAATATAAAGTTCTCTGTCTGACATGTAAAGCTCTTCATAACTTGGCCCCTTCCTGTTTCCCAGTCTCCTTATACCCTCTTCCCCTCCACACATTGTACCATAAAGCTACACTGCCCTACTCACAGTTCTTTGAATCTCACAATCTGCCTTCCCTCTCAGTGCCTTGGTACTGGGTATCCCCCATGCCTGGAGTATTCTGTCCCTTACCTCTTAGTTTCCTGGCTTCTTTCAAAACTCAACTTAAAGCCAATCATCTGCAAGAGGTCTTTCACTGTATTCCCACTCTCTAATGCTCTCCCCTTTTACATTGAGGGCCTGGCATATAGTCCATGTTTAATAAATATCAATGATCAACTCTGTATTTATCTCATGTGTCCCTATTTATTGCATGTTGTCTCCTCCAGTAGAATGCTTATTCATTGAGGGCAGAGAGTTGGTGTTTTTACCTTTGTTTGCAGCCTTGCCTTAACAGTGGAGAGAAAACCAACTGCGTTGGGTTCAAGTTTTGCCTCTGACCCTTACTGGCTGGGTGACTGAGCAAATGACTAAACCTCTCAGTGACCCTAGGTAATCCTTTAAGACTATCGTTGAAGACTAGGTACTGTTCAGCAGGGGTCAAGAGGGGTTCCAGGCAAGGGAATAAAAAACAAAATGTCCAAAAACCAATCATGTCAAACATTTAAGGTTTTTGCCAAGAAATGGTAAGGGAAATGCTTCTGTAACACCGTTAAGATATTTAGATGCTAGTTAAATTAAATTGAAATTAATATATACCAGTTGCCTATTCTACCTCCATTCAAGGTTCCATGATGACTATAAATATTGAAGGACAAAAAATGACACCCTGTCAATTCTTCTAAATATGGCCTATTACATGTTTTTCAAGGCAGGACTACTGCTCAAATGTATTCTGGGCACAGAACACTTGGGCTTTTAATAAGAGAGATCACAGGATCCTAGTTTTAGAGCATTTAGAAGTCATTTGATTCAATACCCTCATTTTCTAAATAAGGAACTGAGGTTCATAGAGCTCACAAAAGTAATGGGTAGCAAAGCCAGGATTTGAATTTGAGACTTCCTGATCTAAATTAAATTCTCTGGCAATGGCAAGAGTGGAAACCTGGCATTCCTATTTATTACCTATGTGAATTTCTCTGAACTTCAGATATTTATCTACAAAATGGAGAGCTTGATCAGACAATTTTCTGATCTGACGTCTTCCAGTTCTAAATGGTATAGCCTAATAATCACCATACTCAAACAAGACAATCTGTCTAAACCTTAAAGCTCATAAATGAGAGCTATTATTATTTTTATCTTGTTTTCTCATTATTTTATATCTATAATACTATCGCTTATTAATACTGATAGGTCAAAAGATTAGACCTTTAATTTATGATAATATTTCAATTCTATTACAAATTTTTGCTGAATTGTTTTTGATTCCCTACTCAACCCACCATAAATCCTCTCTTCCCCCCCAAAAAACAAAACAAAACATTTAATAGTGCTGTAAGTTACCTTGGAGAACAGTCATTGTAATAGTAGCTTTCATTAGGAAATGGAAAAAAAATTGGCAAAACTTTCCCAAAGAAATAAAATAGCATGGTTTAGAGCTAGAAGAGTCATCAGACGTCATCAAATATAATCCTTCCAGTTTACAGATTAGGAAATAAGGCCTACCAAGGTTAGTATACCTACCCAAGGTCACACAGGGGCAAAATGGCAGTGTCATGATTCCAACCCTAGTCCTCTGACTCTGGGTTCAAGACCTGCTCAATTGTACCATTTGTCTCTGCAATATTCCTGTTCTAAGGAATACATAGCTAAATCTATTAGACGTTCTTATTATGTATAGTGAGGGAATGCTAGACGGAGGGGTGGATAGAGCCCTGGATGTGGAGTTAAAGAAGACCAGGCACTTACTAGTTGTGTGACCCTGGGCAAGTCATTTAACAGTGTTTGCCTCAGTTTCCTCATCTATTAAGCTGGAGAAGGAAATGGCAAACCACTTTGTTATCTCTGCCAAGAAAACCCCAAATTGGGTCATGAAGAGTC